GGTTTCTCTTCATAGGTCAAATCCGGTTGGAGCTTAATGTTGGTGGGTGCAATGGCTTCCTCAGGTATGCGAAGACATCTTTTCAACTAAGAAACATGGAAGACATCGAATATTACACTCATCTTAGGAGGAAGTTGTAACTTGTAGGCGATATTTTCTTTTCGTTCAATAATCTTGTATGGCCCTACATATCTAGACACAAGCTTTCTTTTTACTCGTAAGGAGACCGAACGTGCGATCGTAGTACGACGGCAAAATGATCGGATCCTAGGGGACCGGAATCAAGAACAACATTTCTGACCTCCCGAACACTACGGTTACATGCCCCAAGAAGACCGATCACGACAAAAGGGAATCGCCATCCTACCAAGACACGCTGCGGGCTACAAAAAGAAGGCCAAGGCCCTCAGAGTCCTCCCCTCCGGAAAAGCCTCCAAAGGAGTATTCTACTCCTCTGCAGGCTCGGGGGCTACTGTCGGGTATCATTATTAGGGATACCCAAAGCAAGGAGGCTAGCGCCCACACTGACCCCTCCAGATGGATCGAGACGTATTAAAAGGTCTCAAGCGACCCCAAGGCCACGGGCTCTGTCTCGGCCAAGGTCGCGGGTTCCGTCTTGCCTGACCCCTCGGGTGCAGGCTCCGTCTCGCTCGACCCTAAGGCCGCGGGCTCCGTCTCGCCCGACCCCTTAGGTTCGTGCTCCGTCTCGCCCGACCCCTTAGGTTCGTGCTCCGTCTCGCCCGACCCCTCAGGTGCAAACTCCGTCTTGCCCGACCCCTCAGGTGCAAACTCCGTCTCGCCCGACCCCAAGGCCGCAGGCTCTGTCTCGTCCGACGGGGACCCATACCGCCGTCAACCACTCTAGGTCCAAGCGTATGGGCCTGGGTCAAAACTCTCACACCAGAAAAGAGGCTGGCACGCCTTGAGGTAACCCATGGCCATGACGGGCCATACCTGACGATTCACATCAAGAACAGTGTCGGGCGTGCCGATAATGTTCTGTCTAATCCTCATACGGACGCTGACAGGCGTGTCAGTTCAGCATGATGTCCGTCGAGACGGAGTGGAACGCCATGACCGGCAGATGACGCCTGCGCATGGTGCTAATGACGAATAGGGCCACGATGTGGAGCCGTCCCTGTTGACATCTACAGGATCGATGGGACCCGCATGAAAGAGAAGAAGGACCCAGCAATCCTGGAAGCCTTCTTCTCTCTCTCTCTCATTCTTCTTCTTTTCCTCCGCTGTAACCTGCGCTTTCCCTTCGCCTATAAAAGGGGAAGTAGGGCGCCCCATGAAAGGGGGCCAAACGAATCAGAACACAAGAGCACGACACGAACACACGGCTGAGCGGCAATCAAGCTCTCAACACCCGTTCACTCCTTCCACTGGAGACTTGGTGTCCTTTCCCTCTCTCACCTGTTTGTAACCCCTATTGCAAACCAAGTGTCGGTAACACGAGTAACAACGAACTGGACGTAGAGACGTTCTGCCCTAACCAGTATAAACCCTTGTGTCCTCTGAGCACACCATCCGAGCCAGATGCGCAAATACAAATTTACTCATCGGTGGTCCGAAAACACCGACACCTAGCCCTCTTGATAGTATGGTCAAAGAAAAATGAAAAGCCCTGGCACTATGTCAAAGTGCCTTCACCACCAAGTCGTATTTGGATACTATTGTATATTTACCTTTCATAAATAATCTTGGTCCATAAGATACATCGAAGCCAAGAAAACCAAGAAACCTTAATGTAAGTAACGCTTTGTTATAAACCCTACAACACAAAGTTAGTCACATATTCATGTGTTAATCAATCATCGAAACCCACCGGGCCTTGATGCGTTCAGCACCGTCGTCGTAATGTTCGGTACACACTATATAGCACAGTTGCACCAAACAATCCAATGACCTTGATCAACTAATCAAGTGCACTTTAAATTTTAGTTCTGGCTCCGTCTCAAGTGTGATCTTGTCCAATTTAATTTATCTAAGATTCTAAAATTATTCTCTATCTATTTCATCCACTCTTGATCAACTACGCTCGGAGTAACTCTCTTGTGTGCATCAAAATGTTCTTGACTCTAACTTTGATCAAGCTACTAATCTCGACCACTTAATAGTACGGACAAAGATAAACAAAAACCCCAACACCAAGTCTAAATGCCCCCAACACAAAGTCCGTACTTAGATATTACGTGTCTTTTAGTCTTAATGAATATCTTGGTCCATATGCTGAATCCAATTACCGGGCGTCAAGAAGACAAAGTTAGCCACAAATCCTTGTGATCAGTTCCCGAAACTCGAACTAGGCGCCTCAACGTGTTTAGTGGTTAATTATTAACCAAACAGTTGCCGCACATTTTTTTTGCCAAACGATAGGCGGCACTTGCGGTAGAAAACCAAACTGTACCCAAACTCAATTTGCCATAACTTCGTTAAAGTTGGGCTACCTACCAAACGACTCTATTTTGCCACTTGTTAGTCAACGCCACAACGTTGGCATACACTTAACCTTAGTAATGGCAACCTGTGGTAATAAACCAAACAGACCTTAAGATCCTAACACCTTAATTGTGTGATATTTGAATCGTTTGTTGGTTTGGATTGGCCCAAGAAGAAACAATTAATTAATATATAATGTAACATAAACAGTAACAAAAGAATTATATAAATCATAACAATTCTAGCCACCTGATTTACTTTCTTTGTCACCTGCTGGTTCCACTTGGTAGTAGTAGTGTAAAGATGAGCAGGGCATGGACGAAGCAATTTTGTTTTTTTTTTTAATTTTCGGGGGGGGGGGGGGCGGAATACTGAATCATCAAGCACTTGTCCATGACACAATGCAGCATCACACGCACATTGCATTGCCGGCTGTGTCCTGAGCGCCGATGCGGCGATGCCGCGCATCGTGCAAAGATAAGATGCCGCCGGTGCTGGAGATCTGGATCAAGGTTGCCACGCCCACGCGCAGCAATAACTCGAGCCGGCACGCAGCAACGCGGGACAGCTAATGAGGTTTGAAAAGGCCGGACCGGCAGCGATGGGATGGCTTTGGCTGCACGCGGCTTGTCAATCGCTGCGGGCTCCGGCGGTCCGGCCTCCGGCCTTCGGCTCTCTTCCTCTCCGTCTGTTCCGTTCTGCTTGACTGCAGCCGGCCGGCGCTTTCTGCCTTGATTACGCATCGAATTGGCAAACGCTGTGAAAGGCTATCGGTCGCAACCTAGCTAGATATAAGAAAAGAAATGGTTAGCAGCCTAGCAGCAGCAGCAGCTAGGAGCTTGACTTTATAGAAGGCCACAATCGCAATGCATGCAAGTGAAACTGTTACTACTAAGTAGTAGTAAAGGGTACAGGAAGTGCCGGGTGGCCGGTGGGTGATTTGATTTGTAGCCGCGTGCTTTACCACTTTACCGGCAACGAATCATAACAGGTGGAATCTGTGCGGTGCCACTCCACGCAAAAGCAGCAGCCGGTGTAAATGAAATGCAGGCATGTCGGTCCCGGACAGGTTTTTAAATTTACCGCGCACGGGTAGACTACCGCCTCTAGTTTCATCAAAAAAAAAAAAAGAGACCACCGCCTCTGAGGCCCCCCCATTTGCAACGCGGGAGTTTCTACTATTTTCTGCCTTCTTGTTTCTATAAAATCTGTATATGATTATGCATTGTAAGGTGGAGGGGAGGTCTAAATCAACTTCTATAAAAAGAACTATTTTAAAATTTATACTAAATTTACAAACTTGAGCGAGTGGAGACTTTGCTTTCTAGGATTGTAAGCAGTGATGGATCTAGAATTCAAAACCTATCAAGCCAAGTTTGTTGATTTAACCCCCGTTCGGCTTGCTGAATTTTGGCTAACACTAGCTGAAAAACACTGTTCTGGCTGAATTGTTGTGAGAGAAAAACACTATTCCAGCTGAAAAAAGAAGCCGAACAAGCTGGCTTCTGGGTAAGCCGAACGGGGAAAAAGTACTAACATTTATGTTACAAGATAAGTACTACTAAATTAATTATGGTATACATTTTCGTAGTAAACCTCTATTCGATATAAAATAAAATAAAAAGTTAAGCTAATTTAACTAACGGAAACCATATAATTATATCCTTTTACAAACGGAGGGGTTACAAACATTATACAGTTTGGCAAAACCTGTGGGGACAAGTGGCCCCACAGCTAATACACCACTGCCGTCAAGTACAACTTCCTTCAGGGTTGCACGGAAGTTTTTTCCATAATTCTTGTCACAAGACGTTAACCTAGAGTCGTTTGTTCATGCACGAGAGATAACTATGCGGCGTCAACTATGCCTCTCTGCATCCCGAAATATACGACAACCATACTTGGTAAGGTAGTAGCATGCGTTTCGCTTCAGCACAGCGATGCTGAATGCTCAAACCAAAGTGTCCAGTCAGAAAAAGATTGCACAGAAGAAGAAGAAACAGGGGAGCTCAGCTCCGCTCAGGCAGGGGAAATGGTGTTTATACATTACAATATACTTTTCGATTAATCACCGACCGATCGGGATGAAGAAGATGATGATGATGATGATATAAATTATAAAGCAAGAGTGGGCGGGAGAGCGTACCTTGTACGCCTGCCTCCTCCATTTTCCCACACGGCTTTTTAGTTTTTTTTGCTTGCCGGCCGGCTTGCAATTAGGGTCACGCATCATGCACATGCCAGCCAGCCTTACAGACCCAAACACTCGCACATGACGCCTGACCTAAAAGCGCGCCCACAATGCATGCAACGACTCTCACTCCAAGGACCATGATCATGCATGATACAACTGCAACGACACGATGACCAGAGACACAACGACTAGCCGTTCCGTTTCGCCGTACGTACTTGGTAGTAGTAGTAGTCTAGTGGTAGTATACGTAGTAGTGATGATGACCGAGCCAGCCGAGGTAGTGGCCCCAGCCAGCCAGCTCCAGCTCCACTCCAATTGCGGGCTGGGCTGGGCTGGGCTGGGCAGGGATCCAATCAATCAGCTACTGGTACTGGACGAAGGAGCGGTAGAAGGTGTTGGGCCTCCAGTTGGCCGGGATGACGTTCTTGGCGACGAGCGTCTTGCCGGACTCGTTGCGGATGCGGATGGAGAAGGGCGCCTGCATGCGGTGGTTGGTGTCCATGCGCCAGATGGAGCCCCAGGACTCGCGCATCGGCGTCCACCGCCCCGTGGGGGGGCCGTGCGCCGTCTTGGACTCCATCAGGTCCACCTGCACCACGTCGCCGTCGCCGTCCTCGTACTCCACCAGCACCGCGAAGTAGACGGGGTTGGAGTACTCCTCCACGTGGAAACCGATCTTCAGCCCAGGGAACTCGCACGGCACCCTGCAAATTTATGTTCATTTTGATTTTAGTAGTAGTACTAGGCCATCTTAGCGGCAGCACAGAACAGAACCAATGCAAGAAAGAGCTTTGCTGCGTCCTCTAATCTGTGTTGCGAAGCCTAATCTAATCCTACTGCAAGTGTAAGGAATCCTTGGCATTGGCATGGGCCCCACCAACACTGCTGCTGCTGGGGGTGGTGGCAATTGGCATACATACAGAGAAAGCGAAAGGAAAGGAAATGGGGCTGGCGGTGGTCGGTCACCGGCGGTGGCGTGTTGCAACAGTACAGTGGACGCAGGCAAATACGTTGGGCTGCAGTACAGTGGACAGTTCTCTCACATCTAAATAGAAGCTGATTTATCAGCCGACTTTAATACCAGCCGTAGCGCAATAAAAGTTGCCTTTGGCAGCTGCGCCACTTAAGCCGCACATGCGGTGTCCTGCGAGCGGCAGGAGTAATGGGAGCGAGCGGTTGTTGGATTCACGACGCCTCCCTCCGCTCTCACCAAACTTTTCACTTGCCGCGCGGGCTACGAAATTAAATTAAACAGCAGGTAGTAGTATGGAGGGAAACTACTGGTGGAGGGAAACTACTGCTACCAGTAACAATTCGACAGCTACGCTACCGCGTCTTTAGCAGCACTGCTACACTTGTACTTCCAGTGGCAGCACAACAGAAGAGAACAGAACAACACACACAAAAAAAATCAAGAGAGGCACCGACACCGACCTGGTGAACTCGATGTCGATGATGCCGGAGTGGCGGAGCTTGTCGTTGAGGCCGGGCTTGGCCAGCCTGCCGAACGCCGTGCCGCTGAGGTCGAAGTGGTACTTGGACACCGGGTAGTAGTTCATGTCGGTGATGATCACCGTCTCCACCTTCCCGGAGCAGGATTTGTCTTTGGTGCACCGAATCTGCGTGATCCGCGGCAAATCGCTAAAAACGTCAGGTACGTTCGGCTACCATACTACGAGATCAAGCAAGAGTCAAATGTACAGTAAATGGCACTGTCACGGAGATCGAGTGAGACGCGTACATGCACGCGGGCCCCACCTGCAGCCAGCTGCTGGGCTGCTCCGAGGACCCGGCGTGGACTGTACGGGTAGCGTCCTACTTTAACAGTTACTACTCCAGCTAGATTTTTTTATGGCGCTTAACATGTACTACAAGGACAATTGTTTTTTAAAACAAGTGGAGCACCAGTAGAATTGTTTCCGCTATACAAATATGCTTCAGATAGATACAGGTGTCGGTAAAAACTCCATGCTAGCTGTTGTTTTTACTGTAGTGTACCTTGTAGCAGGAGCCGCAGCCCTTGCCGTCCTTGAACAATGGCTGGTTGCCGCAGGACCCCATGGACATGAAGGGGTACTGGTTGGTGTGCTTGAAGCCGCACGCGCCACCTAGCAAGGTACGTACGTTTCGTGAGCCACATTGCCACCACAAGGCACCAAGACAACAAGCACGCGGGCCTTGAGGCCTGACGGAGGGGAAGACGGAGCAGACGTGAAGAAGATCTCGGAAGAATGCCGATAATGCTCACCGTTGTCGTCGGGGCCGGCGCCGTTGGGCTGGCCGTACCAGGTGGCCCGGGCCTTCTGCCAGGGGCCCCAGTACACGGCGGCGTCGCTGGTGTTGTAGTTCTCCGCCGTGCCGGCGGCGGCGGCGTCCGTGGCGTCGAACTGGGCCTCGCGGCAGTGGCCTCCTCCGGCGAGGATGGCCAGGACCACGAGCGCCGCCGCGGCGGCGCCGGCGGCGGGGAGGGAGGAGGGGGAGCCCATGCCTGCGCCTCCTTCCTTGGCCCTTTCCCCTTTCAACCTCCTCTAGCTGCAAGCAGTGGGCAGCGGCGGTGGCTGTGAGTGAGTGCGAGAGCAGTGGTGGGTGGTGGTGGCCGTGGTGCCGTGTGGGCCTATTTATAAGCCCGATGGCCAGATGGGCACCGGCACGCTAGCTAACGAGCTCTATGTGTGTACGCAGCTTAGCAGAGGAGCGAGGGAGAACGTGCCATGTTGGGTCGCACATGGGCCTGGGCTGAGCAGCCGTCCTCCTCCCCTTGCTCAGCTCACTCTACTCGTATTGCCACCGCAGCTAGCGCGTATTAAAAGCTGGCAGATGAAGGTTGGGGCCGGCCGGCCCTAGTTCGGTGGATGGTTGGACCGACGGATCGGCTCGCTAGCTTGCTCCTCGCTGCCATGCCAATGCCATGCCATGCCGCGGCTGAGCTCACCTCACTGGTCGCCTGTCTGAGAGAGAGGGTGGGCGGGAGCAGGGCAGGGGACGGACGGACGGACCAGAGCAAGCAGAGCGGAACAGGGCAAAAGGCTCGCGCTCCCACCTCGGCCCCGGAGCTTCTCCCGAGAAAGGTGACTTGTTTGGGCTGTCGGCATGTGCCAGCGCCCAGCGCTTCCCCACGGGAAAAGCCTCAGGGCCTCCACCTGTGCGCAATGTGCATTGTCTGGCGCGCCTTGCTGCCTGCCGCGTCTACTTGGAAAACTTGTTGGAAACAGATTCCTGGTGCAGTGGTGTGATGGTGTTCGTCTTCGTTCGTTCGTTTACCTTCGTCGTGGTCTGGCCGGTTCTCGCGAGCGACTTCAGAGTTCAGACTTCCTCCCTGAGGTGGATGGATATCAGGATATGGATGGATGCCGGATGCGTGCTGGTGTACCTTCAGCTGCTTGTGGTGGACTTGTGGTTCGGACCTTTTTCCCGTTGAGCTTGGTCGTGTGCATGTGATGTGGGAAAAAGGGTCAAAATGCAGCTGCTGGGGCACGGTGTTCCCACTTACTGATAGGACTTGGCATGCCCGTTGGCACATTATTCCATTATCTAAAAAAAATGCCCGTTGGCACAACAGGGCTACATGGTCTGTGCTCGTGCCAACCAACTTCTACAAACTACTACAGTTTGAATGCCTGCTTTCTGTATGCATCGACTCAAACAGTGTTTAATCTTAGTAGCACTCGCATTACCTGGGCATCCATAATTTGGAGATGCTTCCCGTAAGCACACTCGTTTAGGCGAAGGATACTTGCTGTTACGCGTTGGGGCGCATCTAGTTCGTTCCCTAACTAACCCACTCGTGTTCAGAAAGCAAAAGCTTCAGAACCTAACAGCTAGCCAGCTCGCCGCCTAAACACACCTTTCACAACGTGCTGTGCTGGGCTGCGCTGGGCTCTGCATTGCTCTCCAGCTCATCGTCCTGTTTGTTTGGGCTTGTTTAGCTGATAAATATGGCTGAAAGTACCGTTGGCTGATTTGGTGTGAGAGAAAAATACTGTTCGTTGGCTGAAAAAGAGCTTATAAATCAAATAAGACCAAACGAACAGAGCGCATATCTTTAGGGCAATAATTCGGAAACCCTCACTAATTCTGCCCAAATTCGATGTGACAGATCGGTCGATAAGCGAAAGGAGAACCCGGGTCGGGGTCAGTGCCATGCGCCCAAGAGCAGAGCACAGCCCACGCTGCCTTCGTCTCCATGTCACCTCACATCCCCGTAAGAGAAGGGAAGCGATGTCTTTTGACCCACCCCATCGCCAGAAATTCATTTGGCTGGCAAACAGTATTATTAAGCAGACAATTTATTTGTCCCGGACGACGAACTAGTTGGGCATCATGCTTGCATGATGCCGTGATGAGCTAAGAGATTGGGACCTCTAACGTTGGGCTGGAATGGAATGGAAGTACCATCTCTGTTAAAAAGAAGAGTAAACTATTACACGATTTTGGTTCAGATCTTCAAACTATGAAATTACATATCTAGGTCAACAAACTATTTTAAGTATACCATCCAATCCAAAGCAATCACGTCATAGTCCATTAGTTGACGTGGTGCTCCAGCGTGAAACTGATGTGTACTCCCTCCGTCCAGAAAAGAATGCAATTACGAGATTTGTGCCAGTCAAAATAACTCTTGACCGAGTTTATAGTAAATAATATTAGCATTTATGTCTCTAAATAATTTTTTTTATAAAAATATATTCTATAACTAACCTAACGCTACTTATTTTATATCATGAATAATAGTAGTTTTTTTATATAAATTTAGTCAAAATTTAAACTGCTTGACTTTTCGAAAAACGAGAATTGCATTCTTTCTTGGAATGAGTAGGTTCCAAACTAGGTACCTTATAAATATACTTATTTTTTTCTCATCTGGGTCCGTAATCTATTAAAGTACTACAATTCCAGTCAAAAGTAATGTCTTGATGCCATCTACCAGTACAGTTGGATCGGGAACGCGTTGGGGGTGGATATTGTTGTTAAGTGTGTGTTAAGACACCTCAATCACTCGTGGTGATATGGAATAACTGGCTAACAACAATTTTCGCGGGTTTGCTCGCCGGCGGTTCCATGCTACCATGAGCAAGTGACGTGTTTTAGCACACACTCGACGACACTGTATGCCAGTATGTCCCCTATTCCAGCTGTACTAGTAGATGACGTCAAGACACTGCTCTCCAATATAAGATGAGAAACAGATCACGAGCAGTTCAATAACAAGCAAAGGCTCGAAGGCCTATCTGGCAATCCACGCGACGATGGATGGAGCGTAAAGAGGTTTCTTTGACTAAGATTTTAGTACTTGATAGGTTAGGGACTCAGATGAGTAATTTTATAGTTTCGGACCTAGATGAGAATCACACGATAGTTTAGGGACCGTCCCTATAATTATGTGTTGCGGACTCATGTTAGTTCAACGTTGGAGTGCCCTACGTGACTGTTTTTGACTGGGGTGGTATACCTCAAATAATTTAATGACCTAGATATGCAATTTATAGTTTGGGAACCTATACGAGAAACACATAATATATGTTAGAGACTGCCAGTGTAATTGACTCTAAAAATATTGCAATTTTAGGTTGATCATATCAAGCTACCTTAAGTTAACCTAATATGACAAATAAAAAAGAACATAGGGAGTAATTTTGTCAAACTCTGTATAGTTTGACTTTGAACGATTTTAGAATTGCTACCTTTCTTGTGGAACGGAGAGACTAGTACCTATACCTATGCTACGTAGCGCGACTTGTGGTCACGGTCCTACGGAATTAAGGGGCGCCGAGCCAACCCTATGGAGCTGGACCGGCCTCCTGGGTCGCTAGCTGCAGGCAGGCACGCACCCCATCTGGCCCGGCAGGCCAGCATGGGTAGAGACGAGACGACGCTTCAAGGACACGCACACGCCGGGGGACGAGATCTCATCAGATCGACCACCAGAGTCAGCAGCTGCTGGCTTAGCATTCCACCGGCTACACGATGATCATCGGCCGGCCCACACCCAAACAAATCGATCACGGAATTGCTTGCAACCTTGCATGCTTGGCTCGTGAGCATGTGTGTCGTCGATCACTCGATCGGTTAGGTCACTTTTCCGGCTTCTTTTTCGGGAACGATCGATCGATATGATCGGAGAGTGGGTAACCGTAGTGCGTGCAGGTGAGCTATGGTGGTACCGCCAACTGGTCGAGCAGAGAGCAGAGAGCACGCACACCTAATAAACCTTCATTGCAACTTCCGGGAGCAGCAATTATGCATGCTCACACTGTTCTATCCGTCATGGTCTGCCGCACTACTTCAGCAATACTTTTCAGCGAAACGAACAGGGTCATCGCCACCGGCTGGCCAGAGAGACACCAGCTACCTAGTGGCGCCGCTTTGGTGCTTTGCTTGGATTGGATCCAACGTCCGCGTGATCCCGTCGCCGGCAGTTGAGCGTAAACCTACACGTACGGTTACGGAGTACGTCGCGACGCTCCCAGTGTACCGACCGACGGATGGAACCACATTCGCGTACTCCTATTTGGTTCAGTTCAGATCTGAGTACCAACCTTCAGATCGACGTACGCAGGAGTTGCAAGGAATAATTGGGCCGGGTTTGGTCTCTGGTGGTGTAGCTCGCGTCGCATGCGAGGACGAGGACTCCTGCCGCTGCCGGTCGGCGGCGGCAATCATGCAATGCAACACGCAAGGCGCGCGGCCGTGTCGCGCGAATCATGCCACGGCCTGTGTGGGCTGTGGCTACCATGCGTCCAGGAACAGTATCGATTCCAGTACTAAAATACTCACCTCTCACAGCGCAACTTCTGCACCCGGCATTCGGCAATGATGCGCGGTGGCACACGGGTACATCACTTGTACTCCACCGGCCACCGGCAGTCTCTTGCATTGGTGTCTGTCAGTACTTGCTGCGGAATTATGCAACTGATCTCCATCATCCATGGCGGTATGGCGCGCCTCACTTGCTTAGCGACATGCCTCGGCCGTATCATTGCCGCAACAAGGCATGGCCAGCAGCAACCTACGCACGCAATGACTACAGGATGGCATGCAGCTGTGGTTAGACCACTGTTACACTAGCAGCAGCATCTGGGCTTCAATTCCTGAACATGTTCTCTGGCATGCAGCTGTGAAGTTCTCTACTACGGGGACATGCATGATGATTGCGACGGCTGTGGAGAGGGGGAAAGCCGGAAAGGCACGCACATGGCGATGGATGGGAGAGAGACGCATACGCACCGGGCACCGCCGGATGAGTCCACAGTTCATCCGCGAAATCGGTGTTTTAACACGGCAGCGGGGCAGATGATGATGCATGTGACGGCCAAACGACAATTCACATGCCGTCGCTGACGCTCGACGCCGACGGATCCATCTGGTAGCCATGGCCCGATTTGTCAACCTGACGTATAGGGTTCCTGGTGCTGATCGATCAGCCAGCCGGGTTTTCTACGGTACGGTTAACAGTGTCCGCAAGTGCTGAACCTATCAGTCTCTTTCG